TCTGCTTGCGTACAAGTTTAAAGTTTGAACTTCAGCCACAACCTCTCTATTGAAATTACTATCTAAAGCTTGCCCATTTTTGAAAAACGGGTATACTTTAGTAAAAATTTTATCTATTAAATTTTCATAGAAAAACATTTTTGATCAAAATAAATGAATTATTTATATATTTTGCTAATCTGAAACCGTGTCGTTATTCTTATGTGTTTCTTAAACACTATGTAGTTTGATAACATTCATTTCGTGTTTGGTTTTAGATTCAAATAAAAAATCCCAATAAGTGAGGAAAAGCAACCAAGCATTTTACATTTCTTTTGTAATACTTCACATAACCTTGAGTTGATCAATGTCAATATTTCTCCATGGACCACCGGTTGCCAACTGCTGTTATAGNTTTTTTTTATTTTATCTGTTGAATTTTCATAGAAAAACAATATTTTTGATCAAAATACTTGAATTGTTGGTATATTTTAGTCATTAAATAGTTTTTATAATTATGAAAAACAACCAATAATTATCACTGTTTTGGAAAGAAAAATTAAATAAACTTATAAAAGTCTAAAATGTCATAATGCATGGAATAAATGATGCACAGATCCCATATTCAAAGTGAGCAAGCTTTAGCTAGTATACCCACCGTGCAATGCTTGTCATTACTTGTATTTTATGTACTTATCTATACTTATATTTTACTCAGAACGTAAAAATGACTACCAATTTATTTATTGCTGTTTATTTTTAACTTTGCGACCATTTTCATTATTATGAATCATTTTATTTTTTATTAAACCTTTCACGGACCTCCCTGATGTTGTCCACGCACCCCAAATTAACTTTAATTTTGTACGGATTCCATCAGCGGTTCCAAGGACCCTCAGGAATCCGTAGGAACCACTTTGGGAAACATTGCTCTAGAGTTTATTACGTCAACGCTTATTATTAATACTTAACTTCTAACTCTTGCTTGTGTATACAGATAATAGAGTAATTACTACAAACGATCTTTCGTCTTTACAATAAGTCCCAGGAGATCTGAGGCCATTCTGAGCTCTTCAACTAACACTACAGTCTGCTACAGTCAGCATCGGCCATTGATCGCTTAGTTGTGGCAAGTTACTTCCGGTTTCTTCCTCATTTGTTAAGCATGTCATCGCCATTACAGTGTTAATATTGAGATTTGCTGATGGATCTGCAAACAAGATAGATATTACGGCACTGACATCTATCAATAAACTTTCTTTTTCACCTATAATTTCCACTTTTTAATGTTAGTTTACTTTGATATACAGTAAATACTCGTATATTCGTTTTTACTATGTATCAAAAATAACGTAGATTCTTGGTTTGATTTTACTTGAGAAAAATTCCTTTGAAATTTACGAAATGTGTTCATTTTTCGTATTGAACTTGCAAACTGTGTTGCCGTAAAAAACTAAAGTTTATTTTAATTTTTAAAAATAAATTTCTATTAATATAAGATATTAAGAAAATTCATAGAATAATAGTTTATTGTCAATATTTTTAAATTAAAATTTCAAATATCTTTTGATTTAGTTCATTAATTGTATTTTGTCATAAATCTCTTTCCAGGTTCCTTATGCAAATCTATCAGCCATGTCTGTGCAAGAAACATTTTCTCTTCACAGGACCTACATCGTTTTCCGTTCACTAGGATTGAGACATTTGACCATTGTCGACAGAAGAAATCGTGTCACTGGAATCATTACTCGAAAAGATTTGATGGGATTTCAATTAGAAGAAAGATTAGGAACAATTATCAATCAGAGGTTACTACTGGAAGGACGAGCGGAAGAATTGTCATAGACTAAACATTTATCACTGTTATGTTTTTGTTTATTAAATTTAAAAATGTTATTTTGAAATAATAATTCAAATCAAATGAGAATTAATTAATTGTTTTTGTTATGAACAGTACAAGAAAAATTGCTAAAAAAATATATGTATAAAAAATGTTCTTAAATTTTTCATCTAAATACATTAAGTGTACACAAACTTATATTTGATGCATTAACTTTCAGACAATGAAAATATATGAGTATGTTCCATTTGTTTTGTAGGAGCGATAAGTATACAGTGTACGTAAAAGCAAGGTGAAGGAATTGCTGTAAAATGAATTATAAATGCATGCAGCTTTAAAGGCATCGGAGATCTCACTGATGCACCACTATAATTCATGTTTTAGCAATTCTTTTGCCTTGCTTTTGCATACTTTGTATACCTATCCCCGTTACAAACAAATGGAGCATACCCACATCTTTTCGCAGTCTACAGTGATATGCAACACTTGCATTGGGGGACCTTGAAGTGTCGAGAAATGCCAAAAAATCGGAGTTTTTTTCTGTATGCATGGATGATGATTGCAGAGGGAGCATAATTTTGCTCACTCTCTTTGAAGCTTAACTCCTGTGCTTTTTATCGAAAATTTCTGAAATTATATTGCCGGGAAAGTTAAGCAACTCGTTGCTGGATTTTTTCCAATGATATCAAATTCTATTTGCAATGCTTCTAATAAATCAGAGGCTCTAGAAACGCTCAAGGCATTAGATATAAATAAGGTTGAAAAACCTTTTTCAACATGTTTGCATTTGTTGGCACCTTTTGTCTGATTTGTTTACACAAGAATGAAATCAAGGGACGTATTCAAAACCTCAGCGTCAATCCAGTGAGATGCTGTCAGAAGTGACGCAACTGCTGGCGTTTTCGAGTGAACACAAACGCTGACTGCTGGGGATATGAGAAAGGAAAACAAGCAAAATGGCGAATGATCTGGACTTCCATGTTACGTTAAATTTATTTTTGAACTTATTTAATGAGAACAGGTTAATGAAAAAAATGAATATTTCGAAAAGAGAAAGAGGGATGAAGAATTTTTAAATTTCCGAAGGAGTTATAAATAACGAAACCGATTCTAATACCCAGTTCTAATACTGAGCATTTCAATCTAGATTGTGATAAGATCGGCGACTGTGCCGTGGTGCGACCTCTCTCGACCGTTTAAATCTCGACTGAAACGAGGTTCAACGCGATCGACAGGGGAGCTTTTGAAACTAGATCCAGTCAGAAGAGAGTTCCCACAATCCCACGGGCGCGAGAAGAAACAAGATGGCTGCGGAACAAGAGTTGGACTATCGACAGAGAAATAAAACAGATATTTGGAGAGGATGAGGCTATTGTTAGATATATGGCAAGAAAAAGTAGATGACTTACGCAGAGCCAAAGAAATAGAACTGTGTATCAGGAGATGGCTGCAGCTCTGCCAGAGCATGGACGTGGTGGCAAGATCCTAAGAAAAATAATTTGACTGCAGAATATCGGTAAGTAGAATAAAGATATGATTATCATTATGCTTGCCAGTAACACATCTTTGTTACCAGCTTGCATTTTGTTTTTTGTTGGTGTTCGTGGCGTATTGCGTAGTTATGTCAGCTTTATCATCGCGTGCAATAGCCGGTTTCTTCTCAAATGGACTGCCTGTGCGAGCAGCTCGGCCTTCGACTGGCGACAGTTGCAATAGCGATTGTGGGTAAATCAAGATTAAAAGTGAGTCGTGGAGAATGCAGTATAAGATTACACTTTAACAAGTAAAAAAATTTGATGTCATACGTAAATATACTAGTATATTAAAATATTCTATTAATGTGCTAACTTAATCTTCATTTATTCATCAACAAACAATTGACATTCCCATTGTCAACGCAAAATAGAGCTCTTACGAGTCTCACGGTGGCTGCCATCTTGTTTGCTGGCGTGTCGAGCACCGAAAAAGACTGCTTTCAGTTTACTGGCAGCAACCGGAAGTTGCCTGAAATTTTGAATACCCCAAAGTATATTTATCTAATAACTTCCTGTTAAGGCTTAGGGCAATTTAGTTCTCTAATTAGCTTTTTGGTTTCTAACCCAAGGTCTTGGGTTCGCGAAGTCTTGTATACTGCANACCGACCGTTCTAGTCGGCAAATTTCAAATGTCCGCTAGTGATGCGGCGCTACAATATTTGGCTATGTCTTGGCTACTTTAATATTATTTTTGTTAAGTTTTTGCGTGTTTTAGCTGGCAACACTGGCTCGACCATGAAAGGGAGGCCAGTATTTAAACGAGACTTAATTTTCTAATTATGAGTGGTTACCCAAGGTCTTGGGTTCGCGAAGTCTTGTATACCGCACGTTAAAGGATTAAGTGTTAGTACAACAATATGTTATTGAGAAACAAAAGATTGGCTAACAGCATGCTAGGATCAGCATTTCTGACTGAAAAAATGATATTCACTCTTTCTTCCTGATCAAGAATTTGCTTTAAACAAAGCAAGTAAACGTTATTATTGTTCATTAAACATGTTGAACAACATTTCCGATGTATCACACTTGAGTTGAACCCATTGATCGCATAAACGTCTAACAATAGAAGCTACGGAAAGCCATCTTGTTTGGCATGCTTGAACAATCTTCAAAGGACAATGATCATCGTTGATTGTTGCATGAAGTTGCTTGTATGCTAACTGGTGAGAACGAAACCAATTGAACCAACTGTACGCTTTAGTAGCCAGAAATTCCAAATGCCTAGGAAAAATTTCACTGCAGCGGATGCAGCTAATTGTAAATATTGACAGACATTTAACTAGTATCAAGTAGTGAAGGTATTTCTTGTTTTAACCTGGCATAAAGACCACTGTTTTCTTCAATCGTGGCATTAACATTATCTCTTCCAATACCAACAAGCATTTTAATATTTAATTTGCATTCTTCAAGAGTTTTTTTTAACACATTAGACATGGCTTCTGCCTTATAGTTACCTAGCACTGCTAGCTTTAAAAATAAGAAAACAATTTTTCTTTAGCAGTGTCGAAATAAATTACAGCAATTTTTTGAAATATCTGCTCACACAGATGTCGATTGATTCAACTAATAAAATGCTATACCAACCATCTGCAATATCATTTATTAGTATAGTTGAAGCAGTGGTTACATTTTTAATGATTGCAGAACATTTAGTATAGTAAAGGTGCATACAGTATTACAGTGGTACCTCAGGATACGAAATTAATCCGTTCCGAAACTGAGATCGTATCATGAAAATGTCGTAAGGTGGATCATCTTTTCCCATACGATTACATGTAAAACCAAATAATTCGTTCCAACGCGAAAAACATACTNAAATTTTGAACACATTTTTGTTCCGGTTGACACCTATCATTTCCAGATCGCCTATCTCCTAACGTATGAAAAAGGTAAGAAGAAAAAAGTTGATGACCTCCATAAAAATCAATCTATAAAGGTTTTTAGAATTAAAGCAAAGTAGGGAATCGGTATTTTTCAGAATTGAGTACGGGAGGAGACTTGAAAATGGTGATTTAGTAAGGGTCTCCCAGTTTCCACGACCCTTGGTGACAATCAGTAAATAGGACACCTACTAGGGGACATATACACCATCCATAAAACCACATCGTGTAAAGCACAGACACCAGGTCACAGTAGACAGGTGGTCTATTCCTACCGCAATTGCCCGTCCATACACTGATCAGAATAGGGACGAGACAGCCGTATCTAAATCCAGATACATGGATGCAGCTTCCTGCTCCATATTGACGAACATTAAAAATCTATTCTTTAACAAACCATCCATCAAACAGTCTCCACCCCTCGGGATACAATGAGAGTTTTACCGTTGACAAAGAGTTAATCGCTCTATGGGGACGAGGTACGTATCGGAATGTGGGACCACGATACAAGCGGGCTATTTATTATGTAAATTTTGTATCACCCCGTAGAATATTCTATTGACGGGTCCACAAAATGGCTAGTAACTCGTTTCGTCATCTTAAATTTACCCTCGGATTAGTTCTCCCTTATTTTTTCCTCCTTTTATTTAGTTAACTTATGAAATCAGTTCAAAAATTGATCCGTTGTCTCCAAGTAATTGACGTAATTCGCTCACGTGGTCTCTCGTGACGTAATAGGTGTATGAGTAAAGTCAATTTATAACCGTGACCCAGAATGGCGATAGATGAGTGGTGGTGACAAATCGACTCAAGGCCGAGCCGGATATAGTGGCCAAATTTAAGCCGTAACATAAGCGACACATAGATCAGGCTATGAGGTCTACGGGAGTGCGACGAAAATTGGACAGGTCTGGGATTTAGCCATCTGGCACCTTTTAAGTGTATTGTTTATAATGATGCCAGAGACTAGCAGAGTTGTTGACTTTCCAGTAAAACACTTCTGCTTAACAGAAGAGAATGACAAAAATATAAGCCGTATATTCTGTTAAATTATACAAGAAAAATATTTATCTATTATAAAAGAAAGATTTCAAAAATGTTTCCCAGACCAACCTTGAGAGGATATTGAAGATATTGGGAGCATGGTGGTGCCATCATGCCAGACTAGTCAGGTGGGATAGGGGTGGAGGTAATCCCCTAGTTGAATTCTCTTGCACGGTGTACACAATGGGAGCAAGGTGAAGATCTCACTGACCCATCACGTAATGCGTGATACAGATCTGGACAGGATCTTTGTCGTCTTTCTTGAACTCTGCTGAATTGCTTCTGTCAAATGCAGGCTATTTTTTTTAAACGATGGTAAGAGAGGGTTGCAGAATGACGTCAGATGCTGAGCAGGTTAAAAAGATCATTCTCTACTTGGGTGATCTTGTCTTCAGTTCAAAAGAAAACTATTTGCTATTTTATAGGGTAAAGTTGTCGAGGGAGTCAGATAGGAAAGAAAAAAAAATAGATACTGGCATTGATTATCTCGGCTTTAAAGGCTTTGAATAAAAATGGTCTATAGAATTCTTGGGTATTTCTGGTATGCATCAAATCTTTTTGTATTTGTGAGACAAAAAAAAAGAAAAAAAAGTAGAGTTTAGTCAAATAACATTATCGTTTCGATCAAAAGAATTATTCACGTCACTACTTCACGAGGGACTCACTGAGTAAAAAGAATACCTTCACATTTAAGTTTACAAAACAAATTCTTGAAATTCTTTCTTTAGAATTTCTTTTTTTAAATCTACTTTGCTGAATAACACAAGAAAAAAGCCGTAGACCTACCTGTCCTAACATAGGACAGGTGAAGGAACGGGAGAACCGTCCTGCTGGTGTGACATCCCGTGATCCATGACATTGTGGTGACAGCCCAACTTGTCCTCGGGTTATAGGGACTTTTACAAGTCCTAGTCCCCTACTGTCCCCTTTTGGATGTATGGATTGAAACCGAGTGTGGGAGAGAGAAATTGGAGAGGTGTGTCAATATAACTGAAATGATGAATCATCCCGCAGAAGTGTGATGGCATTCAAGTTTTCGTGCTCTGAAATGTCTCCGCACATAAGCTTTGAAAGTGCTCTTGTCCTGTGAGGAGATTCGATGCGAAGGAAGATTATGAATATCAGAATACCTGAGCATTGTACGATAAGTTATGTGGGAAGATCAATAATTCATTCACATAACAGGTACTACAAAAAATGAAAAAGAAACCATTTCCTGCCTTTAATTTAATTTCACAATCGACACCGAGAAGCTTTATTCACCATATTCGATTAAGCGACTTCATTTCCAACTTCCTCATCTATTTTTATAGAAAGTGCCTTTTTACAGCCTCCTTATTCATTAATGAAAACACCCAGTTTGTCATCATTCCATTTTCTTCAATTGGATGTCCGTAAATCATTGCCAAGTAATCCTGACAAGGTCCTTAGTTTGCACGCAATGGCGTTACTGCGATGACAGCCATGGCCAAACTTAAGAAGTAATCAATACCTTTTTCGGCCTCTAAATCTGTTTTTAGATTGTTCTCTTAAATAGAACTCGATTCAAAAAAGTTCTACAACACAATTAAGTTGCAAAGTAAAACAATAGACTTAACACAAAGTATTTTGAACCTGTTTTCGACACTCTTAATGAAACGGTTCTCTCATCAAGTTTTGCTATTTTTCGTTTAATATTTCCTTTTTTTTTTCGTTTATCGCTCAATTTTTCGTGACGTCTTCGTCATTATCAATGTTACGATAGGGCGGAGTTACTTTAATAATTAACACTCTACCACCGCCGATATAATTTTAATTTTATCAAGATTATAGCTTTAATCTCTCCTAGAAATCGTTGTTTAATGGCATTAATTAGTAATCCAGAGAATTTTAATTGGATCCTATTAATATAGATAACCTAAAAATAAGTACAAATTCCTAAGATTCTATTTACGTTACGCGCGTAAATATTTTTAACGCAAAGATTAAATTTCCTAAAAGATATAAAATAAAAATTAACACGGTGTTTAAAAACTCTTGTACAGAAGCATAAACGATAAAGGCCAATACATAGGTTTAAGTAAAGCAGTTAAAGATAATGAATGGTCAGACTGTATTTCAGCTGTTCAGACTCTTTTCTGGACGACTTAGCAGACATTAGAACTGCACCTGTTTCGTTATGTCACCAATTGGCACACCTTCACTGCGGGATAGAATAACTTGGCCAACGTTTTCACTTGTCTCAACAAGCCGTGACAGATGACAACACGTGGACGTGTAGAGAAGAAACTCGAAACGAACTTCTTCATCCATTCCTCGTCTCAGAAGTTCATTTTCTAGTATTAATTAATTCGGCAAAGTTTTATATCTTTAATCGGGATCGCGAGTAATGGGAAAAGAAAACAGAAAAGCAAATAGTCATTATCGAAACTAATTACAGGCAATGCCAATCACTTGTAAGATTTAAGGTTTGCAGCTTCTATCGGGATTTTCTTTGACATATGCGCTTCCCCGGGGTAACAGGTGTCCTTCTATCAATCATGTTCTCTTGGCACTTTTATTTCCTTTTAAATTGCTTGAGTATCACCCAACTTGATTCTATACGAAATGAAGAATTATACGAAGTGGTTAGCACTTCTTTTTTTTAATTACATCCTGATAATGTTTAATAAGATGACGAGTATGATGGAGTTTCTGGAAAACTTCAAAATCAATTGGAATCAACAGAATGCAACTAACTCGTTAAGCATATAATCCTATTAAGTTTGGTACTTAAAAGGTGCAGCACTTGTATCGACTTAGCCGTAAAACAAGAAAAATGGGAACCTGACACCTATAAAGCGAAACGAGGTTTTGGAGGACTGTCATCCAGTTACAGCATACCAGACGAGTCACATCTCTGACTTGATTACACCTAAGTGTCTACCTCGTCCTATTGCAATCTATACCAATCAAGAAAAGCTAAAAAACATCCCATCACGATGCCTCGGCTCGTTATGCAGATGTCAAAGCCTGTGTGGAAATTGGCGAGAAGTGGCTGCTTCGGAAGTTCACTGCCTAGTAACGATCCTGTTGCCATAACAATGGTTGAGCGCAGAGGACAAATTACGACATAGAAAGAGAAACACGAAAGGAATTCCGCTCGTCACACCAATTCTGATGACAACTTTTCTAGTTCCTTGACAGCATTCAAACTACAGCAATAAGACACGTCTTTTCTCCCTTTCAAATTCTGCTTCGGATGGGTTGCTGCCTCATAAATAAAACCTCACTATCGATTTGTTTTCTGTTCTTCACTTAAACAATCTTATATACGTGCAACTAACACTCCTGCTATTATCCATTTGTTAAACAATATTTTCTTCATTTTTACGGTCATTCCTATAACAATTTTAAAATTAACTCACTAAATTTCTCCTTTTACACATAATTACATACAGATATAATCCTTCTCATCTATATATTTTATTAACATTTATA